CGTCTCAAGATTGATAAAATCCAACTCCTTTTTGGGCTCCTTCTGATCCGACGAGCTGCCTCTTGCCTGTGATTCCCTCTGCTCGGCTCTCCAGTTCAGCTTTGACTTAGCATTGACCAAGTTCCATCCGTTCAGTCTGTATTTAAAGACCTCTTTTTCCCTCCTCCTCTTAAGGAGGGGTTTTGGAAAATTACATCATCTTTTTTCCAGTAACTTGTCTGTTGCTTTGCACCTCAACCGGTTTAGACCAGTTTTCGGGTACTTTCCAGAACTTTGTTTTGCTCAAAAATGCGTCATCATGAGATGAGTTGAGTTCGAACCCCATGACATCTTGTTCTCTTTCTACTGCTCGAGGCAAGCCCAGGCCTGTCCTAGATGGGCATGTCCGGACTTGTTCACTGTTACATGAGGCCTCAGAACTGTTCTTTAACTTCAACACTTCACAAGTAAAAGTAAATCACACAATCATACAATGGATTATACAATTCTTAAAAATCAATACTTTCATTAGTTGATTATTTGTTGATTATTAGTAAAACAGTAAAACATTTTTGATTACACATTATTATGTTTAGCTTGATTTAAAGCAGGAGTTCAGTCCTTCTGTTTTCAGCTGCTGAGGAGAACTTTGATCAGGCTTCACCTTTATTAAAGCTGGTCGTCTGCCATGCATCATCACTTCAGACACCAGGTTTATTGACACAACTTTAATTATTTGTTGCTCAAATGTAGAGAATGGGGCTGGATTTACAAGTCTGCAGGAAAAACAGTCCTTGAACACGGCTGCTAGTCCACCCCCTCTACGTGCTTCTCGGGGTGTTGCAAGAACAGCACAGTTACCTGGACAGAGTTCCCGCAGATGAATGAGATCCAAGCTTTGTTGCCAAGTTTCAGTTAAAAACATGAAATCAAGGGACTCCTTCGTAATCAATTCATTCAAGACAAAAGACTTGTTGCTGATACAGTATGCGTTGAAGAGGGCCATGCACAACAATGGCATTTCAGCAGCTCCCACATCCGCTAATAGCGGCACACAATTAGGTTGATTGCATCAGAAGAACGATTATGACGAGGAGGTACACGATAGTGAGCATGATGAACTTCATCCAAGCAGGTTGAATAATATACAGAAGACAGGCAGATAGAGGTCCATGCTGGCCAGGTTTCAGGTGATGTGTCAAACTCCCAATTAGATGAAACAGTTCGTAGACAGCGAGGGGCTCCCCGCTTCCCAATAAAACGTCTACGATACAGCCTCAGATGAACCAGGACACCGGCTCTAGATCCTCTTTCCTGCTTTTTACATCTGGAACTTTGCAGGAGACACTCAGGTGAGCAACAAACAAACGGAGGTGGACAACTCCCTCTGAAACTGCTCCAGCCGTCACAGCAGCTCATCCACGACTTGTTGATCGCCAATAATGCATCCCGATCATAAACACGGGCTGCAAGAGTGACAAAGCTTTTATCCTGACTGAAAAAAGCTAAATAATTTAAAAATAATAAAAACGCATAATAAAAAATGCGCAGAGAAGTAAAGCTGGCGAAGCCACACACAGGCACCATCTTGCCACCATTCTTGTTCAATCCGAAACAAGCAGCTTGATTTTGGTCAGCCGCGCTCAGTCTGCTCCTCTTCAGAGATGGGCAGATTGGACGCGGCTGACCGGGGTCGAGTTGCCTGTTTCGCGTTGAACAAAGAGTAGCGCCCCGCTGAAACCCCGGAGCTCGAATGTCCAACGTAAAACTAACTTTACCATGGTTTAATGTGGTGCTATGGCTCTGCAGACATTGCACGTTGCTGTCTTGTTTTGTGGCGTTTCTAGTGTAAAATACTTCCACACAGCAAACGTTTCAATGAAAAGTTGGTTAGCCGTTAGCCACAGTTCTCACGTTGTAGCTGGCTGCAAACTATGAAATGGATTTTCTGAATGTGAGGCAGGTCTTATTACTCTGGGTTCATGAGACACGCCTCCGTTCAGGAAATCCATTACATAGTTTGAAGCCAGCATGCATCATGGATCAGAAATCTCTGCAGGTTGGATCAGAAAAATCCGATACGTAAATTATGCTGGTATCGGAGGCCGATACTGATACTGGATCAGATCTGCCCCATCCCTACTAAAGACGTTGCCATTATTTTACCAGCGCAATGCATTCTGGGGCGATGACGTACATCGGTTGTACAGGTCCTTCTCAAAAAATTTGCATATTGTGATAAAGGTCATTATTTTCCATAATATAATGATAAAAATGAAACTTTCATATATTTCAGATTCATTGCACACCAACTGAAACATTTCAGGTCTTTAATTGTTTTAATACTGATGATTATGGCATACAGCTCATGAAAACCCAAAATACCTGTCCCAAAAAATTAGCATATCATGAAAAGGTTCTCTAAACAAGCTATTAACCTAACCATCTGAATCAACGACGTAACTCTAAACACCTGCAAAAGATTCCTGAGGCTTTTAAAAACTCCCAGCCTTGTTCATTACTCAAAACCGCAATCATGGGTAAGACTGCCAACCTGACTGCTGTCCAGAAGGCCATCATTGACACCCTCAAGCAAGAGGGTAAGACACAGAAAAAAATTGCTGAATGAATAGGCTGTTCCCAGAGTGCTGTATCAAGGCACCTCAGTGGGAAGTCTGTGGGAAGGGAAAAGTGTGGCAGAAAACGCTGCACAATGACAAGAGGTGACCGGACCCTGAGCAGGATTGTGGAGAAGGGCCGATTCCAGACCTTGGGGGACCTGCAGAAGCAGTGGACTGAGTCTGGAGTAGAAACATCCGGAGCCACCGTGAACAGGCGTGTGCAGGAAATGGGCTACAGGTGCCGCATTCCCCAGGTCAAGCCACTTTTGAACCAGAAACAGCGGCAGAAGCACCTGACCTGGGCTACAGCGAAGCAGCAATGGACTGTTGCTCAGTGGTCCAAAGTACTTTTTTCGGATGAAAGCAAATTTTGCATGTCATTCGGAAATCAAGGTGCCAGAGTCTGGAGGAAGACTGGGGAGAAGGAAATGCCATAAGTCCAGTGTGAAGCGCCCACAGTCAGTGATGGTCTGGGGTGCCATGTCAGCTGCAGGTGTTGGTCCACTGTGTTTTATCAAGGGCAGGGTCACTGCAGCTAGCTATCAGGAGATTTTGGAGCACTTCATGCTTCCATCTGCTGAAAAGCTTTATGGAGATGAAGATTTCATTTTTCAGCACGACCTGGCACCTGGGCAGCACAGTGGCGCAACTGGTAGAGCTGCTGCTTCTCAGCAAGCAGGTCCTTGGTTCAAACCCCGGTCCAGGGTCCTTTCTGGGTGGAGTTTGCATGTTCTCTCCGTGCATGCGTGGGTTTTCTCCGGGTACTCCGGTTTCCTCCCACAGACCAAAAACATGCATGTTAGGCTGATTGGTAACTCTAAATTGTCCCTAGGCGTGAGTGAGAGAGTGAATGGTTGTTTGTCTCGTTTGTCTCTATGTGGCCCTGTGATGGACTTGCGACCCGTCCAGGGTGTACCCCGCCCCTCGCACAGTGATTGTTGGACATGGGCACCAGCGACCCCCGTGACCCAAAATGGAATAAGCGGGTAAAGAAAATGGATGGATGGATGGATGGACCTGGCACCTGCTCACAGTGCCAAAACCACTGGTAAATGGTTTACTGACCATTGTATTACTGTGCTCAATTGGTCTGCCAACTCGCCTGACCTGAACCCCATAGAGAACCTGTGGGATATTGTGAAGAGAAAGTTGAGAGACGCAAGACCCAACACTCTGGATGAGCTTAAGGCTGCTATCAAAGCATCCTGGGCCTCCATAACACCTCAGCAGTGCCACAGGCTGATTGCCTCCATGCCACGCCGCATTGAAGCAGTCATTCATGCAAAATGATTCCCGACCAAGTATTGAGTGCATAACTGAACATGATTATTTGAAGGTTGGCGTTTTTTGTATTAAAAACACTTGTCTTTCATTGGTGGGATGAAATATGCTAATTTTTTGGGACAGGCATTTTGGGTTTTCATGAGCTGTATGCCATAATCATCAGTATTAAAACAATTAAAGACCTGAAATATTTCAGTTGGTGTGCAATGAATCTGAAATATATGAAAGTTTCATTTTTATCATTACATTATGGAAAATAATGACCTTTATCACAATATGCTAATTTTTTTAGAAGGACCTGTATATTAGCTCTGGAGCTAACAGGAAAGCTGCGTCATTTATTCATTCTCCTTTTTGTCAACATGTTTATAACCCTTTATATTTGAAGTAATTGTTTATCAACTAGGTGTTTCAACTAGTCGGAGATCCTGTTAAGAAACTAAATGGACAACTGAAGTGAAACCTTCAGCTATATGTATTAACATCACCTAATACCTCTCAAACTGTTTAAACAGATCAAATTACACCATGACTGGAGGGGGAATCAGAAATATATGCTTTAAGAAACAGTTTACTACTCTCAAATCCATTATTACTTTATTACAAACTATTTCATAAAAACAGTAGTCATTATTTTCCACATAGAAACACAGCAAATTGGTACATTTACTAATCACCAACTGTTCAGGATCATACAAAAGGAACACTGTTACAAGACGCTCTAATTTTACACGACTTCATGAACCATTTCATGTTTTGTCATCAGGATGTTGTAACCAAGTTTTGACGTTTGAAGCAGATGATCAGCCTTCCAACCATTCGGTGTAACACTGACAAACTACAACAATGAAGCAGCGCGTTAGAGAAAATCTACATCATGAACTGCTTCTCTTTTGGAGGACTGATCGCAGAACAAGACAACTTAGACTTAATATCAACCACGAACACTTTTTTTTTGCTCATTTGAAAAGTGAATCCAAAAATGCTCGCACACACACATGCAAATAAATTAAAATGGAAAAAAAGAGTAAACATATTTCCCAAAATATTTTTGGAGAAGTGCGACAAAATGCAAAATTGCAAGTCAGCTTTTAATCGGTCCTCGTGACTTTCTGGGCTGATCGTGCAGTAAAGGAATACTTCTTTCAACCGAATACAACAATATGACAGAGAATGTGCAACCAAGAGCAAATTAAACTACTTTCCGTGTTGTTTCACTGGTTTTAGAGCAAACCGACTCAGTGTCATAGTCCTATGTACTGGTTCCAGCAGCACCTCAAGCTGACATCACACAGAGTTTTGTTTGTAGTTCAGGGTCTAAAAACTTGTGTTTTCCACCTCCGTCTCACTTCGGGGTGGAAATATGAGACGCCGTCCCAGGTGATGGGGATCGAGGCGAGCCCTGATAGGTGCGCAGCAGCACCTTGTGCTTGGTGGCGCTCTCTGCGCGGTGACTCTGCTGATCCACGAGGAGCTCTTTGAGTCGGCTGGAGTTGAAGGTGAGGGTCTGCCTCCTCAGCTTCATCAGGTAGGAGTCTTGCAGCCAGGCATGCATGAAGCAGTCACGCATTGTGGGACGGGCCCTAAAAACAACAACAAAAAACAGATGTAAAATCTGCACCTGCCTTATATTCATTATTTTTATCAGCTGATTTTAGCCGCATTAGCATTCACCATGGGTAGCTGCTCAACATCTTCTTCAAAAAGGCTGAGGCACTTTGGGAAACATTGGGGTACAGTTTTGTTGGGTCAAACGTGGCCATCAGGATTTTAGATTCAACTTTTTGAGGGTTTTTATCCTCGAAGGGTAGTCGACCGCTAAGCCTGGAAGTAAACAAACAATCATGGTTTATGAGTGTAATTCTAAATATAAATAATGTAGATGTGAGTGGGGAGGAAAGAAGAGCAATGTCCTTAAACCCCTCATTAAAATGGAGCATCAGATCACTTTACTGACCAATAACAAGTTAATTAATTTATTCACCCTTTAATAATCAAAGCAGCTGAGGTAGTTGAAACCAGGCTGAAAAGGTTTCATCGCTAAACTAATGTGAGTTGAATTTGAACAGCTGGCATTTGCAGAAAACAGGAAAATAAAAGTGGAAAGCAGCAGAAAAACGGCAAAAATTTGCAGAATAAGAAGAAAATGGCAGAAGTGGCTGAAAAAGCCAAAAAAAGGACTGAAATTAGCTGAAAGGGACTGAAAGGAGCATAACAACTTGAACTTGTGAAAAAGACACACAATATGACAAAATTAGTAAATAAATAAATAAATAAATAAGCAGAAAACCTAAAAGAAGCTGAAAATAGCTGAATTTAGCAGAAAGAAGCTGCAAGGAGAATAAATAGCTGAAATTAACAGCAAGTAGCTAAAAAAAATGCTGAAGCAGAACAAAAGCTGAAATGAACAGTAAAAGGTTTTAAACATCAGGACACCTTCATGGACCCGGGCCTGGGGGTGGGGTGTGTGGGGGGAATAACGCAAGTGAGTGGATTGTTCAGAGGTATAAGTGCTATATGTTGTCATCATTGTATGTTCCCATACAATGATGAAATTGGTTCTCTGATTTAACCCATTGCACCTGAGCTACACCCAGGTGGAGCAGTGGGCAGCTATGTAAGTGTCTGGGGAGTAATTAGGTGTCTTGCTCAAAGACACCACGACATGTGGGAATGGCTGGGAGTCGAACCGCGACTTTCTGGTCCCAAGTCGGCTGCCCTAACTCTACCCTATCTCGGCCCCTGGTGGAGGTGGATGGAGCACTTTGAGAGTCTCCTTAATCCACCTCCTAAGTCCACCTTTGAGTTGGCAGAGTTTGAGTACTCAGGGGAAGACGAGTCCATTACCATGGCAGAGGTCACAGAGGTTGTCCAAAAGCTCCTCAGCGGCTGGGCGCCAGGGGAGGACGAGATTTGCTGTGAGATGCTCAAGGCTCTGGATGTTATGGGGCTGTCATGGTCTCTTCAGTGTCTTGTGGAAAACTGCAACAATGCTTGTGGATTGACAGACCGGGGTGGTGGTTCCCATTTTTAAAAAGGGGGACTGGAGAATTTGTTCCAACTATTATGGGATCAAACTTCTTGCTCTCCCTGGGGATGTTTTTCCAGGGTGTTGGAAGCAACCTTTGGCCTAAGGTGGCTTGGTACCAAAGACACTTATAGACCACCATATGCTAAAGCATATTGTTTGTTTGGTTAACCCATTCCTAGCACTGAAGTCCAATAACAGAACACAATTTGGGTGCAGATCAGGGAGGTTGTTCCTCCCAATCACCCCAGATGACTCCATCATTGCCCACGTTGGCATTGAAATCACCCAGTAGAACAAGAGAATCCCCAGATGGCACTCCTTACATGACATCATCCAGAGACTCCAGAAATACAGTGTAATCTGAATTCATGTTTGGTGCATGAACACAAACTGTCAGAACCTTCTCTCCTGAAGCCTGAAGATGCAGAGAAGCAACCTTCTCATTGACCAATACGGCTCCAACATTGACACATTCAGGCTGGCCTTGTCAGTTTTCCCACACTTGCCCAATGCCTGTGTCCCTGGGCAACTCCAGAGTAGAAGTGAGTCCAGTCCTTCTCCAGGAGTTGGGTTCTAGAGCCCAAGTCATGTGTAAAATTGATACTGCTCAACCCCCACACAAGCTCTGGCTCCTTACCCGCCAGTGAGGTGATGTTCCACATCATTACAACTAGTCCATGCCATCAGGAATCGACATGGCCAGGGACTCTCCCTCCACTTCAACCAGGTATCACAGCATCTGACCATAATGGTCCTCCCTGCAGGTGGTGTGTCCATGTGAAAGTGGGCTTGGCCCGGCTGAGCACTAGGACATTCCAAGAGCTCCCCCTAAGGCCTGGCTCCAGGGAGGTGCCCTATTGCTTAAAACCTTTGGGCATTTTGTTAAGTCATTCATCAAGGTTTTTAATCATTTTAGTCTGACCCCTCCTATGAAGACTGTTTATCATGAGAGACCCTATCGGAGGCTGATGCCCCAGTCCACATAGCCCCCAGGATTACAGGGGTAAAGAAATGCCTCACCACATTAAGGTGGAGATTCTGCTGAGGGGTAAAAAAAAAAAAAAAAAACTTAATAGCTGAGATTTGCAAAACTAAAGGCCTATAACAAGCTAAAATAAAAAAGGGTAATTTAAATCTTATGTTTATATTTCAGGTTTATATAGCTCTTAAAGGTCAACTAGTTCAACATGGACTAAAAAAATATAAATTGCATTTATCTGCCGTTTATACAAGGTGGTCTATTTTTCCCTTCAAAAACAGATATTGTCATAAAGTTAAAGGGCCTTTTAAGGGTTAATATTGAACTCGTAAAAATAAGCAAGCACAGCCTTTAAAAAGGTAAGTGCTGTAAAAAAAAATCCCTGCATTGAAACTTACATGATGTAGGTGACAACTCCAACAGTCCAAATGTCAGCAGGAGGACCTACAACTTCACCTTTTATCATCTCAGGAGCTGGTCAAGAAGAAATGTCAAGATTGTCATGTAGTTTTTGTTGATTTTATTTTATTTTTTTACTAAAAGAATAGAAACAAATAAACACTGGAATACTTTATCAAATCAAGTCTCACCCATGTACTCCAGTGTTCCCGCTCCAGAGTTTTGGGGTTTCAGGTTGAGTGGGTTGAAGCTCTGAGCGCTTCCTAAGTCTACAATCTTTACAGCATTGAGGTTGTTCACCATGATGTTGTCAGACTTCAGGTCTAAGTGAAGGATGCGGTGGTTGTGGAGGTACTCAACAGCCTGAAGGATCTGGACCAGGTAGCCCACCACATCGTCTTCAGAGTAGCGAAACCTTAAGTGGGTTAAAAAGGAGTATCCTGTCAGTTTTTGGAGTAGATGCGTCTCATTACGAGTTGAAAGATCTACTATCCAACCTGTCAGTGAGGATGTAGAGAAGTTCTTTGCCAGTACAGTACTCCGTCACCAGAACTAAGTAGTGCGGGGTGACATAGGCCTCATGCAGAGACATGATCATTTTGTTATGAAGGGACTTCAGGATTTCATACTCCTTTAGCACATCCTGCTTTGTCTTCGGACTGTAAGGAATTATTTTTGCCATGTACATTTTACCAGTTGCATTTTCTTGGCACTCACGAATCACCCCAGATCGACCCCTGAAGAAAGGACACAGAACAGGTTTTGTAGCAAATAGTCCAAGTAACAACTGGGTTTGCAAAGAGGTGGACCTTTTGTATGGAAGCTTTTCTGTAACTTTCAACAAAAAGCCACTGTTTTATCCATTACTTCAATGAATGCTAGGGGTGATTCACAGTTTTCAACATTTTCACAAGTTTACAAAAACATACTCTGTTCGGCAGCGCCCGCTCCAAAGGCGTCCAAAAAATGACGACTTTCTGTCACAGTTTACACTCTTTTTTTCCCTTTCTCATCACTCTGTTCACTGTTTGACTTTTTCTTCTCTGCTCTCCTGGGTTTTTCCTCTGCTGCTTCTACCAGCCTCTTTACATGCCACGCCTCTCTCTCTGATGGCTGCTGATGGTTTCCCCCTGTTTCTGGGTGTATATATATATATACTTCCTGCTTTCTCCACTACATTGCCAGATCAACTGCTTGCTTCCAGCCACAGTTATCCAGCGTACTCTTCTTGTTCACAGCTCTTTAATCTTGATCCACGCCGGTTTCCCTCGACCACGTTTTTTGTCTGTCCCTTTTTGTGCTCAGCCTTCTGACCTTGTTGACAACCTATGCCTGTTTTTGGATTCTGCCTTTGCCTCTCCATATCGGTACTGTCTCCTCTTCTGATCCCATGTATGAACTCTGCTCATCCTCGACTACGCCTCTGGATTTCCCTTGGTCTCTGCAGCTCTGTGTCTCCGCTGGAGCGTCCCGTTACAACAAGAAAGGTTAGTGTTTCATCAGACCGTCTGTATTCAGATAACTACTCGTTATTCTGTCAAACACTAACCTTTCCCCTCTGTATCATTTTAGATACAGTTCCTGCCCCTGGACCCGAGACACCAGAAGCTGTTTATTCACTCAATAAACATATTAAAAACCTTTCTGAGTCTGTGTGTAGGATCCTCTGCCATCAGATCTCTGACACTTTCAAAAAACCTATTATAAGAAAATCTGAAAAATAAAACCCATGTGCTTACATGGATACTGTAACAACTACTGTCCTAACAGTAAAATCACATTCGAGTCAGTTTCGTGTGACATCACCCTTTGTTATTGATGCACACACCCTCCAACAGAATTCCTTTTCGCCCTTCAGTGGTAGGCACAGCTAACCAAAAAGTTAGCTTTGCTAATGCTAAACTGCTAAACAGATAAAAAAAAGTTAGCGCTTTAGCATTAGCTTCTGCTATCTTTTATCATATTCTGCTGTCACTGATACTGCCTGTAATGTGACATCGTAGTAAGTGAACACAATTCAAAACAGTTCATAAATCACAAGTTGTGATTTATGAACCACTTTACTTGTAATTCACAAGTAAAGCATCTGTCCTGCTATCAACAGTTTAGAGGGTAATAAATGGTAAATGGAATGTACTTATATAGTGCCTTTCTATCTTATTGAGATACTTAATGCGCTTTACATTACAATCTGTGCCCTCTTTTACCCATTTACAGTATACAGCACTCTACAATATATTTACAAAGACTAATCAGTGTTTTATCACATTCATACACCGATGGGACACACATTGGAGACAATGGGCGGTTCATTGTCTTGCCTAGGGACACTTTGGCATGTACTGGTGGAATCGAATCCCCAACTTATGCATTGGAGGACGACTGCTCTAACCACTCAGCCACAGTCACCCCCAATAGGAACTTTGCCTACCACTGCCCTTTGTACATACTGGGAATAACCTCTGACTTATAGTGTCAATTTACAGACATCCATCCATTATCTTTTACCTGCTTCTTCCATTTTGGGTAACGGGGGTCGCCGGTGCCCATGTCCAGCAATCACTGTGCGAGGGGCTGGGCACACCCTGGATAGGTCGCAAGTCCATCACAGGGACACATAGAGACAAACGAGACAAACAACCATTCACTTCCTCACTCACACCTAGGGACAATTTAGAGTTACCTATCAGCCTAACATGCATGTTTTTGGTCTGTTGGAGGAAACCGGAGTACCCAGAAAAAAAACACGCATGCACGGAGAGAACATGCAAACTCCACCCAGAAAGGCCCCTGGACTGGTATTTGAACAGGGACCTGCTCACTGAGAGACAGCAGCTTTACCAGTTGCGCCACCGTGCTGCCCAATTTAAAGACAATAATAGAGAATTCAACATAAATGCAAAACAAATCCTGAACAGGACATTAACAAGAAGAACCTGTTTCCCACTTAGAAATATTACCTATATCCAACAATTTTCAGTCAGGTCATCTGTACAGTTTCTTTTTTTTTCTGAACAGTTTCATTTTCCATCCAGAAGGCTTCATCAGTCAAGGAAACACACAGCACAAAACTGATTCTTCCCCCAAACAGCTTACTCCAAAGTGGAACAAACCAGTTATGTTGGTGCTAAGATGGTGTCTTTGGCACGCCCCCTCCTCTGGAGCTGGCCCTCTTCCTCGTCGACAACCATGTCAAACCGGTTCAAAAACAAAAAACCTGACTGAAAATTGTTGGATTGTATACTTGGATTATTGAGCATGGACTTTTTTTGGTTTTGAACCAGTTTGACATGACTGTCGACGAGGAAGAGGGCTCGCTCCAGAGGAGGGGGCGTGCCAAAGACACCATCTTAGCACCAACATATCTGGTTTGTCCCACTTTGGAGTAAGCTGTTTGGGGGAAGAATCTTTTTTTTGTTGTGTGTTTCCTTGACTGATGAAGCCTTCCGGATGGAAGGTGAAACGTTTCAGCAAAAAAAAAAAAAAAAAACTGTCCAGATGACCTGAATGAAAATTGTTGGATTGTATACCTGGATTATTGAGAATGGACTTTATTTGGTATTGCACCTATAATTGCCACAAGGTTACACTGCAATCTTTGCAGCTCACATGGTCTCTGTGGGATATTACCATAATATACTAAGGTAAAATTATTGTCATTCCATATTTGTATGCATCTTACACATCTTTAAAACATACAGATACAGACTTGCAGATATTTATGATAAACTACACACACCGGAAACTGTCTCCCTGACAGCGAAAACTGAATTTTGGGGAAAAAAATTAAGTTAAATGGAGCTTTAATCTAGGACATACAAATATTTGTATTGTAGTGTTAATACTGTTTAAATATAAGAACTAAAACAGCTGAAATACGAGACTCACAGAGTCACTTAAACAGGCTGTGCGCTCCCGTGGTGGCACTCCCTCTCTTTCTCTTGCACCTAGGCTCACTGTACATCAGATGGTTGTCAATATTTGCCATGTTGGAGAATAGCAACATGTCTTCCAGACATGGCATATTAAAAAAAACTGTCAACTTTTTTTTCATTTAGAAAAGCGTACACCAGTCCTTGACCCCCTGTGAAAAGGAAGAAAACTGTAAATCACTCCCCTTTAATTCAGGTATGATTCCTAGCAATGAAAATGCCTTACCTGGCTTTCTCATCTAGGAACGTATATGGTTTCTGTGGAACCCCCTGCCGTAGAGCAGTGGAGGATGTTGCGTGTCCCGATGGGGTTCCGCTGGTAGGTGTACTCGATCCCTCACCGATAGGGCTCAGACTGGAGGTCTGGAGCACTTGTGGGCAGAAAGACACAGGGGTTGGAGCCACGCAAGCAGTGGTAGCTGTAGTGGGGACATAGGTGGGCACAGACACCACAGTGGGTTTTGTCTGGGTGGAAGGCAGGGTTACAAGAGGAGGTGGGGTCTGGGTCATTGGGGTCACCACATTTACTGGACTTTGGGGTTTGGGAGGGTTAAAGGATGGAGAAGTTTTCACTGTGGGAGATGAAGGAAGAGGGGTGCTCAGTTTCTGAGTGTCCTCGGTGGGTGCTGATTGAGCGGTTTCCGAGGATGGAGAGGAGAGGGTGACCACAGAAGAGTCTGTTCTGGTGTTTTTGTCCTGAACTCGTTTGAGCTGAGGGTCCTTTGCTGGTTCAGGGAGGGCTGGGACAGTCTTTACTACAGCAGCTGCAGGTGAGCCTCCTTCAGCTGTACAAGAAATATAATTTAGATTGTTAGTCAAACATTCTTTCCTATTTTCTGACTTTTATGCTAAACCTCATAGGTATAGGTATTCAGAGTACCCTCTGGCTATACTGTCCATGGTTAAATGCCTTGATTTAATGTCTGTATTTCCTTAAACAATAGAACCCCAGAGAACAGAAAATACCTCTCAATTTATTTCTTGAAAAAACAAATCCAGTGGACTTAAGGAGACCTGGGGAAACCAGTAGACAGAAACAGAATCATTTTGATTTCAGAGGTGTTTTGCATGTTTTTTTGTTTGTTTCTTGCTGTTTTGCGTTTATTTATGGTCATTTTTTCCTTCTTTTTGGTCATTTTGTAACTTTCTATATAACATATTTTTATTTTTTTTGCTTTCAAGTAGAGTTGCATTCGAGCCTAATAAATCAGGCCCAGACTGGACCGAGCCCATAGTTTTTTTTTTCCTGAGCCCTAACTGGACCCAACAGATTACCTGTAATTAGAGGGCCAACCCCCCCCCCCCCCCCCCCCCCGAAAAAAAAAAAAAACTTTTTTTTTTAATTAAGCTTTTACTGCTTTTGTAAGCAAATCAGTTTGACATGATAGTTTTAAAAACACAATGAAAGGAAGCTATAAGATATATTTTTATTAATAAGTCACCAAATGGATATTAACATACAAAATGAATATCCTAAAAAGTCATCTCTAAAGATAGGCTATTATTCAGATTAACAAAAATATTTTTAGAGCAAAATTATTTGGAAAAATATAGAACAAGGCTAATTTAATTGAATGCACTGCTCGCTTCGGCTTTTGTCGATTCTGCTACTTCCTTTACTGCAGATGGCAGAAGGTGCGGAGCCGGTGATCGATCGATCGATCGGTCGGTCGGTCCGCCCGCCCGCCCGTCCGTCCGTCCGTTATCTTTACCCGGTCGCTGGTAACCATGTCCAGCAGTCATTGTGCGAAAAGTGGGATATACCCTGGACAGGTTGCAAGTCCATTTCAACTGGCGAGTCAGCGGACGCGCGTGGCCAGTGACAGGTTGTCCATCTGAGCTTAACATGACTATTTTAAACCTCTTTAAACCAGCCGGTCGGACCTGCCTCCTCCTCAACAAGTAGTATTCTTTCCTTTGTGCTGGATGATTTGCAAAACTGCCGAAGCCTGAGCCCACGTGTGCAATTATTGTACAATGTGCCAGCGATCTCTTCCACAGTCTGATTAACTGCTGCACTCTTTTTTCTTTCTTCACCCTCTCATTTTATTTGTACTGTATGATTTGCAAAACCGCATCAAAGCCCGAGAACGGCTCGGCCCACACATCAGTCACATTATAACGGCCCCAACCATCCCTAATCTGGGTTAGTCAGGGCCGGGTTTCAGGTTCGGGTTAGAAATGGTAGCTCTACTTTCAAATGTTTATGTGTCTATAACTATGAGCACTCTCATCCTTTTTTGTTTATTTGTGGTCTTTTTGGATTTTTTTTAAATTGTTGCTCAGTTATATAGATTTAATAGAGTTGGTATTTTTGCTCATACAGGTTTGCATCTCATTTTTTGAGAACAAAATATCAAGCATATCCACCAAAATACACAGACTGAAGAGAGAAAAGATGCCAAAGGTAATTTTTTGAATAAAAGGTTGGAAAGTTTTTTTTTTTGTCCTCTACATTGCTAATGCAGGTTTCTTTACTGTCACATCCAATAATTCTTTAGTAGTTATGCAGCATTTTATCATGGCTATTTTGACTTTGCAGTGCTCCTTTTACAACCACCTTGTCTTTATTTGCTTTTTGCACCTTGCTTGTTTTTTTTAATTTTGCAAATTTTCTGCATCTCTGTCTGTTTTGTCTACTTTTAGTTCTTGAAATTTAGTCTCTCTTCAAAGCTTTTTGTGTCTTACTTTTGTCATTTTGCTCAACTTTATAGGCTTATTGTAAGATTTTCGGAAGATAATTTTCGGGAGATGATTTTAGTTGTTTTAGTTATTTTGTTTCTTGTGACCTTTAGTCTTCCTGCTGTAACTTTTCTTGTTATTATCCAGCACCATGACATATTATACTGCCTGTGTATTTTTTTTTTATCTTTTTGCTAAACATTTTATGAACAACTTGCTAAGTCTTAATGAAATTCTTAAGGTAATTATTGGATGTACATTTACAACTGATTAACATTTTAAGTCATCCCAATTCAAGATGGCTGCCACAGCTATTCCACCTGATCAAATACAAAGTACAAAAATCTTTCTTACTCAGTCACTTTTACAGTTATTGAGATAAAATTTGGTGCTTTGGTAGCTGAGAGCCATCTCCAGCCTATACTCCAGATATGTTTTTAAAACTTTTCCATTACAACTCAAACATGTGGAGAAAATTCAATTCAAGATGGCCTCCACAACTAATCATCCGTTAATAAACACAAAAACAGCTCTAGGTCGGTCAGATTTACATAGATCGAGCTAAAATTCCCAACTCAAAATCAAAGAACTAAGAGATTGAATTAGATATTTGCATCAGCGTCAGAAGCATTTGTAATGTGTGTGTGGAGGGGACACACTATTCTGGAGGTCCTCCCCCAGAAAATTTTAAATAAAGCAGATGTCATTTCCTGCATTCTGGTGTATTTTAATGGGTTGTTAAACATCTACTTTTACCTACATATGTAAACACTTGATTCAATAACCATTTTAGAGAACATGGCACAACAACAAGTAGCCTGACCAACAGCTCTCCTTGTGTGAATAAAGCACACTCCACTTCTCTCCCCCCACCCCCACCCCCCCACCCCCACCCCAGGCTGCCAATTAACAGAACAAACATAGCGCTAAGCTAGCTGCATGCAAAATACAAACGCGCTAGCAAAGATGCTACAGACATAGCACACTGCTTCTCTCACGCATCCTAACCCTCCACCTACCCCAGGCAAAAACTGCAGGCAATAACGTAGCGCTAAGCTAGCATACAAAACAGAGGTGTCTCCCCCTCCTCCCCCATCCCATCAACAAAAATCCCTGAAGAGATGAACACCCTGCCAAGCTAAGTGACATCGGAGAAACACAAGTGTGGTGGTGAGTTGTTGTAGGTAACCAGGAAAACCCGGAGTGGACTTTTAGTGGTTTGAGTATTCTTCTATTAATCAAGTGGAATGGATTCATTCACAAATAAATAGAAATAGTGCTGGGTGATCTAATATTCCATGGTAAATGCTGGGATCCAAACAAATATTTTTTAAATGTGAGAGGGCCATCTCCCCTTCACATATACTTGATACAACTCATATGGTTCTTTGTTTAAAACATTGTCATGCATGACGGTGGGAGATAGGCATATTTAAATTTTTCAATTTTATTACAGCCAACAGTTTTGAAGCCCGTTTTCTCAAGTCAACTTGGTTTGTTATTTTATTTATTTATTTTTAGCGTATCTTTTGCATCGCTCCACTGGAAATGAGACAAAGCGTAATAAAATGTATAAACAGCATTCTGATGTGTACCTGTTGAGTCCAGGATGAGCGGAGTGGAACAGCTGCTGTATGGACCCTGTCCGGCCTTGTTGACGCAGGACACTCTGAACCTGAAGGGCCCACCTGCTGGCAGGTCAGTAACATTGTAGTAACAGTCGCCTATTCCAGTGGCAACAGTTACCCAGTGAGAATCACCTGCAGGAAACAAGGAAAAAATCATGTTACAGAATATGAGCCAGTAATAAATTAACTGCTTTTATTTTTCAGTCGTCTTTGATTAAAACAACTTAGAAAAAGTTGTTTTATTACAAAAAACCTCAGTGTGCATTGAAATGAGACATATTCGAACAGCAGAAATTTAGACCTAAAAGCATTTCAAACCAATATGCCTCTACACAGAAGTTGCACAAGAAACAGGAGTCATAACAGCATCATGGCATGAAGCCTCTTTGCTTGACACTTCTTGACATTTGTAAACAGACTTTTATAACTCTCACAACACAAAAACAGTTTATAATTCCTGCCTCGATGACTTTATTTAATGAACTATTTTATGCTTACTGTAAGATCAGACTGTAACATACGTACATTTAACATTTTTCTGAAAATTGTCTCTTTCTTAGTATTAAAGTGCTATGATCTGTTAAATTAAACACATAAAACACATCAGGCTGGCTGGCTCCATGTCTCGTTGTATGCCACTCACTGGTTTGTTGTATTTTGTGCAAATTACGCCATTAAAACCCACCATGAATCTGTCCAGTGATTTACGTCCTCAAAAACCTTTGAATCGGATAACAAATAATAAAAAACAATAAATATAATAATAATCTTAATAATCTAAAAACAATCTTGAATGACGTCTACCATTTACCATATAAAAGCTGCTGACACGTCTCCATTATATCTCAATGTAGCTATAAGCTTAATTAAAGCTCAATCTTTCAAAAACCTTACATGGCACATGCATCATAAGTCTTCACCAGCATCACAGGAATGAGCTTGATCAAAATTAAATTAATATTAAAAATTATAATGACTTCAGTAGGACAAAGTATGCAGCACTAGTTTTGATGCAAATATCAACAGAAGAAGAAAAAACTAAATAAAAACTAGATAAACTGCATGTCCTGTGAAAATACAGTGTGAATGCAGATTGCAGAAGAACTTGCTGAAAAACAGCTGAAATTAGCTGAAAAAAATATTTTGAAATGTAGCTGAAAGGGAAGAAAAAGCATAAATTAGCAGAATAAAGCAGAAAGAACACATATTTGCTGAATTAGGTTTAAATAAGCAGAAATTAGCACAAAATTTAGGAAATTAACAAAAAAGCTGAAATTAGCAAAAATAGCTGAAAAGCAGCTGAAAAGGCAAAATGAAGCTTAAACTACCAGAATGAAGCGGAAAGAACTGAAATGAGCGCAGAAAATGTGGAATAAGCAGAAAAAGCTCAAATTTGCATCAAAAGAGCTAAACAGTTGCTGAAAGAGCAGGAAAAAGCTAAAAGGAGCATAAAGAAGTTAATTAGGCTGAAAGTAACAGAAATTAACACGAAAAACTTTTTTTATCTGAAAATAGCTGAAATTAGCTAAAAGAAATGCTAAAAAGTTAGCTGAAAATGTAGAACAAGCCTAAATTAGCAAAAGAAAGCAGAAATAACACATTCCTTACATAGAGAACTTTACTAATTGGCTTTTATGTATGTGAATGTTCCTGTAAAGTGCCCTGAGACAGTTGTGATTTGGCGCTATATAAATAAATTGAATTGAATTGAATTGAATTTGCCCATTTATGCTAAAAGAATGAGAAATGAGCACAAAAAAGTGGAAATTATCTGGAAAAAGCTAAAATTAGCACACACAAAAAACCCAACAACTGAAAAGTAGCTAAAACAGCTAAATGAAACTTAAATTACCAGAAGGAAGTGGAGAGAGCACAATTTTGCTGAATTAGGCTGGAAAAAGTTGAAATTATTAGAAAAAAAAATCTGGAATTAGCTCAAAAAGCTAAAATTAGAATAAAACAGCTAAATAGTAGTTGGAAAAGCAGAAAAAGCTGAAACTTGCATAAACAAATAGAAAGGAGCATAACAAGAAGTTAGAAGACGCACAAACATGTAGTTAGTAACAAATCTAAAAAGGGTCACAAAACAGCCGAAAAACAACTGATATTAAAGTAGCTGAAAAAAGTTTAAATTTGCAGAAGGAAGCTGAAAGAAGCTGAAGCAGAACAAAATGTGAAAGGAGCAGTAAAAGGTTGTAAACAGATCTAAAGCTTAGAAGGATGTAAAATGAGCTCAATTCATTGTCTATGAGGAAAAAAGAGGCAGAAAAAGCTAAATATTTCAAAAAGCTATTGTTGCACCAATACCAAAAGTCATAGCAGGATTGTCCTGAAAGAGCTGAAGGTTTTGATTTATAATTTGTTGAAATATAAACTGTGTAGTGCGAAAGATGCAATAAATAAATAAATGTACAGAAGAACAATTGATAAACATTCGCACAATAAAGAGAAACAGAATCACAATAGTTTGCATTTTCAATGTTCAATAATTATAACATTAAACACTAGATGGCAATGTTATCTGTCAAAAGTGTTTTTTCTGCAGGAGTTGTGAAAAACCTCAATATAATGGTAAAATTATTCATTTTGTAACCTATATCTGCGCTTAGTAGTAAAAATTAAATGTATCAAAGCCAGAAAAGTTTAACAACCCGAAAGATAATTTTCTACGGATGATGATGAATCACTCAAAAAGCTCCCAGCATCACCAGTAAAACGTTTATTCTCTCAAAGGCTCAGTCTTTCTTCTTCAATAACATTTTGTGTAGTATGTGTATATTGGGCGGCTGTGGCTGAGTGGTTTGGCGCTGTCGTCCTCCAATGCAAGACTTGGGGGTTCGAACCCCACTGCAGTCACATGCCGAAGTGTCCCTGGGCAAGACACTGAACCCCTCATTGCCTCCGATATGTGTCCCATCGGTGTATGAATGTGATAAATCACTGATTAGTCTCTTTAGAATGATTTGTTGTTCAATTAGCTTTGTAGAGATCTAGTAGAGTGCTGTATGAACGGGTAAATGAGGACACAGATTGTAGTGTAAAGCGCTTTGAGTATCTCAATAAGATAGAAAGGCGCTATATAAGTACAGTCCATTTTCCATTTACAGTTCATTTATGTCAGATGCTTGTTATTCCTCACATGCAGTGGCACTGTTTCCCCCTCAGAGCCTGGGTGTCACTGGCAATAAAGCAAAAAGGGATATTAAGTCATGACTTCCTCACCTTCTGTTTTTCTTTCCAGACAGTAACTGCAGGGAGATTTTGTGTCCACAGGCTTCCACAGCACCAGAGCCGTGTTGTTGTACGTCTGAGCTACTTCAGGGGTTCCTGGCTGTTTGGGAACAGCTGGAGGAGACAAACAAGTTGATGAAAGTTGGAAAAATTAGAGTGTAAAATGACCAATTAAGTACTTACTGTAAAGACATTTACTATACGCATATGCATTAAAGCATCTTTATTACAGTTTGTTACAGGGATCTCTGACTACTTGCATATGTTAGCCTTAATATGTTATTTCTATATTCTACTAAAAGTTCTTTGTGACACGTGAGAACTCCCAGTTACTTAAAAATATCAATGTTTATTGCATTCTTCCACCTAAGGACATCACCATTATTTTACCGGTGCAATGCATTCTGGGGCAATGACAAACATGGGTTGTAGTGAAAACTAACGAGTCGATGATTGAAATTATAACGTGACAATAAAATTACATTGTGTATTAGTCTTTATTCACATTAGGTCGAAACTATCAAATTTGATCAACTTGTGATGTTTAATTTATTAGGTGTGGAGCTAACGCCATACTAGCTCTAGAATTAAAGCTATGAATATTATCTGTGCAGCTAATGCTATTAATATTAGCTCTAGAACTAATGCTTTTAACTCCGGAGCTAACACTATTGACTCTGGAGCTAACGCTATACCCATGTATGTATTACAGTAGTCCCTCGCTACTTCGCAGTTCAACTTTCGCAGACTCACTGTTTCGCGAGTTTTCAACATAAGATTGTACACAACACACAATTGGCTGATTGATGGAAGACGACCAACCAGAGCATTGTGCTCTGTATCCCGGGCGTAGATTGGCTCAGTAACCATAGCAACAGTCTGTCTACTTTCTTTCACTGTGCTCTTTTGTGAAATTTTCGTGGTATGGCGCAAATGCCATATAAAAATACCGTATAAAAATACTGTATAAAAATACAGTATAAAAATACCGTATAAAATACCGTATAAAAATACTGTATAAAAATACTGTATAAAAATACCGTAATGGCGGCTGTTTTGTTGCATCGCCTAGATTTTTATGCACCTTAGAAGCATAAAAATTCACACCGGAGACCATCAGTTTTCTGCCACTCACAGTTCAAGCATTTTAAAGCTCTGACTTAAAGATTTTGTAAAGAGTTTGCTTGATCATTTTTTTAGTCTGCTTTTTTGTCTGCCTCATTAAGTTGGCAGTCAGGGAGTGACAGACACAGATGTGTCGTTACTATGGTGACCATAATGAGCCACTTTGTAACATATTTTTTGATCCTGGCTCTATTTATATTTCTTCTAAAGTTTAGACGTCAAAGTGTAGGTACTTTTAGATCCAACAATATTCAAACAGGTCATCTGGATGGTTTCTTTTGTTGCTGAAACATTATGTCCTTCATCCAAAGGAATTCTTCAGCTGGATCTGGCCATCTTATCACCAGGAAACTGTTTTTTTCCCACTCTGGGAGTGAGCTGTTTGTGGAATTCAGTTTGGTTTGGTTGGCTCTTCAGACTGAAAAAGTCCTTCGGATAAAGGACGAAATGTCTCAGCAACAATAGAAACTATCTAGATGACCTGACTGAACATTGTTGGATTTATACCTGGATTCATGAGCATGAAGTTTGGTACGTTTAGATTATGTAAGGATGGCGCCATCTGATGGGCCTTATCTGTACTCCCTAGTGTGTCTCATTATTCTTGATTAGTTTCACCCTGCTCTCTGTGTATTTGTCTGTCTGTGAGTCTTATTCTTTGTCGCGTCGTCATTGGGTCTACCCCATCTTGTCCTGCCAGTCTGATCATTTACCCAGTCCTGACCTGATCCATGTCCCTAGTTTTGTAAGTTTGCTGCCACGACAGCCATTTAATTTATTATCATTAAAAGTATTTGTTTTTGTACATCCTGTGTCTGAGTCTCTGCCTGCACCATTGGGTTTCTTCCTGTCCTGTTCTGTCTGAAACCCTGACAGATTATTACATTATGTTGGACTTTTTGCCTGTACCAGCTGTGAAACACTACAAAACTTCTTTGGAATTTTTCTAGTTGATTTAGATGCCTTTTTGAGATTGTTTTTGCTTGAACCTAATTTCAACTTTCAAGACAAAAATAACAAAGAAATCATAAATTGTTTCTAATAAATGATAAATATGAGAAAAGCTGAAAATCCATTATGTTAATCTACTTTGGATTTTAGTCAGTAGGTTGAAAACAAACTTCTTACTGGCAATAGAAACGGTACAGGAGGTGGTGATGGTGGCAATGGGGTTAGTAGCTACACATTCATACACTCCAGCGTCCCTGTGGCAGGATTTGTGGATTGTAACAAGCTGTCTGCCATCTGGGTGAGAGATTAGTTTGATCCTGTCGTCCGTCCCCTCCAGTGGTTTCCGATCTGCAAAAACACACAAATGAAAGTAACATTTTTCTGAGTTTCTGAAGGGATCCATGAGTACTTGGAACAATCAACAGATTTGATCAACAATGTCTTCAGCTGTAAAAATGAGACCGTAAAAATACTGTAGGCGGTTTAGTTTTTATATTGTTTTTAAAGATGATTGGCACACAGACATTACCATTTTATTTATGCCACAATGCATTCTGGGTAAATGATGTAGACAGGTTGCTCCAGTGCGAGCTCCATTCAGCTTGAATGTTAATTTTGGACATTAACCTATATGATGTTCAAATGGAGTATGCTGACAGAGGAGAATGCTGAAATGGCACCGCTTCTGTGTTAGCTGCAGAGCTACCGGTAATATTTATGAGGTTAATTCCAGAGCTATTTTATTATATGACATTAGCTTCTTAGCTATATGAAGTTGGCTATAAAGCTGATAAACAGTATATTGCATTAACTCTAGAGCTAATAGCATTTCATCCAGAGCTAAAATATATGACATTTGCTTCAGAGCTGATATATTTGGCGTTAGCTTCAAAGCTAATAGTGGTAGCTCCACAGGTAATATGTATGGCTTTAGCTCCAGAGCTAATAGCATTAGATCTAGACCTAACAGCGTTAGCTCCAGAGTTAATAAATGAAACATCACAAGTTGATCATGTTTGATCGTTTCGACCAATATATTGTGTATAAGGACTAATACATAATATAACTTTATTATCACATGTTATAACTTGTTAGCCTTGACTCTTTGTGTTTTAGTCTCCACTTCAGCCAACGTACGTCATTGCTCCCAAAATGCTTTGCATCAGGTAAAATAATGGTGAAGTCCTTGGATGAAAAATATAAAATCACATATATATATTTTATTTTTAAGTTATTTAGAGTCGTCACATCACAAACAACAACTTTTAGTAGAATAGAGAAATATATATAATATGTTCAAGTAGTCATAGATCCATTTAAAAGCTGTTCATGCTAGAACTGAATTTACCTTTCATCCATGTGATTTTGGGATGTGGACTGGCAGCTGGGAGGCAGCTCAGGGTAACGGAGTCCCCTTCTAGTAGAACGTGGTCTTTTAGCTTGATGTGGAACACTGGAGCAAAATCTGAAGCGGAGCGGATAAACTGTTGGTCTTTGGCTGAGTCTTCGTCTTTTGGGACAGATGACGGTAAATCACACTGAGAAGTTTTGTCCTTCTTTGCCCTGGTCAAGCCCCACCTGTCCCATCGTGATTTTCGGTCACTCTCCGAGGCTCTGCCTGACTGGATGCTGGAGGTGGATTCAATGGATTCTTTTGATGCTACCCCACCGGTTTGTTTTGCCAGCTGGTTCTCAGGGATGCTCAGTTCTTTGAGTCTACGTCCCTCTGATTGGGAATGCCAGTGACGAGCAAACAGGGGTGTGCTTTTACCCTCAACATCTCCTTTTCTCTCTTCAGATTGACTACGTATTTTTGTGGCTATTCCTGACATTTTGTTCTCAAACCTATGACGCATTGCCAACACAGGAGATTCTGAGACCTTATTGTGATCTTTATGAACCAAATCTTTCTGACTCCCCCCTGTCTGTTCAGCCCTCCTTTCCTCTGACTGACTCCTTATTTTGGCAGAGATTCCTGCCACTTTAGACTCAAATTTACGCCTCATTGCAGAAACCGAAGACTCCTCTGCTTTTGTTGTCTCTTTTTCATCCACCTGCTTTTGTGTCCCAGCATTATTCAGCTCTGCTGTATCTATAGACTTACTGCGACCAACAGCCCACAAAACTCTTTTATTTACAGTTGTTTCCTGAACATTTGGTTGTTTTTCCTCTTTTGGTTTCTCCCTCTTCTTCTCAGTGGATGTCGACCTTTTAGCCCGCAGAGAGAACCTCCCTATCAGACTGAGGCCTGTTTCCTGATGTACTTCTCTTAAATCTTGAACAGACTTGGATTTTTCTGGTAGTTTCCTGGAAACCAATTCAAGTGGTGTGCCCCCCAGTCCTGGCCTGTAAATCTCCTCTCCCCCATCAACCACTTTGTGGCTTGATACGGGTGACTTCTCCTCTGATTTGTATCGGGTCAGCTTGCGGAGGCCACTGGTCAAAGACGATTCTCGCTTCTTAAACCTCGCTTCAAAGACCTCCTCTGAATCAATGTCTTTGATGTCCGTTCTGAGCACCGGATGGCGAGGGATGGTGGGAAGCTCAGCGTAAGAGGAAACAGAAGCAGGAGATTTGTCTTCAGTTGCTATTTTGGCAAATACTGCTGGATGTTCCGGTAATGCAGATGTATCATTAGATTTCCTGTTGTTTGCACTGGTTTCAGCTTGATTACATGTCCTAATTTTATTTTTATTTATCTCCAACATTTGACTGTCTTTCCCTACTCCATCATCCACTTTTATTACAATTATAGGAGTTTTATCAGTCCTTTCTGGTTGAGTTTTGGTCCTCCGGTCTATGATCTCATGTTCTTCCACATTGTTTTCTTTGTGCTGTTGGTTCAGATTTTCTTCTGCTTGGACTCTAAAAGAAGTTTTCTCTCTTGGCAACGAAGATAAAGATTGTAGTGTTGTTTGTTCTGTCAGTGCAGACACTGAAGTTGCCTCCTGAAGATCCTTCCCCTCCATGCTTCCACCAGAGGCAGATGGGATCACTAAGGGGGCTCCAAACATACGGTGAAGGGGCACAGGCTCAGAATCCCCCTGAGTGAAGGAGACACTCTTACGGAAAGCTTTATTTTTTAGCAAGTCCTCTTCAGAACACTCAGAGGACACTGCTCGGGTGAGCGACAATGGCCCCACTTTGGAACTCCTCAAATTTCTATTGAGAGAACCTGTCTGCCTCTCGTTTTCCATGCCAAGTGTCTCAAACAGGGGGCCCCGCAGACCGCTCATCTTTTTATCAATGCTCCCTCCCCTGAGCAGCCGCTGCCTCATCAGCTCCAGTTTTAGGGCATATTCCTCCTGGCTTAACTTTGCAGTGCTGGGGCTTGGACTACGGTTTGGTAGCTCCATAGACACAGCCTTTTTCAGGCTCTTGTTGCCCACCTCTGACTCCTCGTTCCCACTTCCAGCTTCCGGGTCATTATGGTGAAGCAGCGCTGAATCAGCAGAACTGCCTCTCCTCATCGTAGCCCGCCTGGCTCTTGTCTGCGATTCGTCAGGCTCAACACTTGTTTCTTCTTTGAGAGCATTTTGTTTTGACCTTCCTGATTTCTCCTCATTTGGAGTTTCATCTGTTATACTTTTAATAGCCACTCCTGTAGTGCCTGCTTCATTCGCTTTGTCCTTTTTCTTCCCATTATCAACAACATTTGGCCATCTGACACCTTCGTCCCCTGAGATCTCATTAAGAGAGACTCTGGAATCAGAGAAGACCACTGACAGGGGCATAGGAATAAAGGGAAGCTCATCCATATCTGCATCTGAATCAGATGAAGATGAGGGTGGCGGGGAGCCCTCCTTTAAATGCCGGGGCATTGCAATGGAAACATGGCTGGAAGAATCATTCAGGAGCTCTGGGATGGACCTCATTACCATCTTGGATTTGTAGCCAATGAGAGATCGCTGAAAAGAACCAACAAGATTATTTCATAACTTTTTGTAAGCTTTTCTGTTTCTATTTCAGATAAAATTAAATACTGTCTATTTTCTGAAAACATTTTGAAATTGCTGTAAAATTACAAAATAACTTAAAAAACTCAACTTTGCTATCTTGTTTTGCTATAACTCACTGCTGTGAAAGGCAGGTAAACATGTAATTGCTTTTGTCTGTGTGCTCATTTGTCTGTTAGCAAAATCTCTCATGAAGCACCAGTCAGATTTTAATACAACTTAATAAAATAATTGAATATTCATCTACAGCTGATTAACTTTTAGATTTCAGATGACCACTAAAGCTAACTGACCTCAACAAACACAAAACTGGCTAACACTTATTCTTATGTTTACAGTATTCAGATAAATTCTGGTGTGGTAGTTGTTGAGAGTTATCCCTAATGCATATTCTGACTTTCGGCACTCAAAGCTGTGGGTGATATGCATTCCATTAAGCTTCAGGCTTTTGCAAACATTGCTTCAGGGGCTGAGATAGTGTAGAGGAAGGACAGCTGACTGACCAGAAAGTTGCAAGTTCAACACCTCGCCGTGCCCACATGTCGTGGTGTCCTTGAGTAAGTCACCTAATCCCTAACTTCTCCTTGGGTGCCTTCACAGCTGCCCACTGCTCCACCCGGGTGTATCTCACATGTGATGGGTTAAATGCAGAAAACTAATTTTGTCATTGTATGGGAACATGCAGTGATGCCAACATATAGCACTTTCTTCTTCTTTAATGTCAAACAGTATCATCCACACCATTTACCTGCCAGCGCCTTCTAGAAAGAACCTCCTTTAGCATTACTGTGCATATGCTCTTATTTGTTGATGACTGTAAGACAAATACAGCAATTATTATCTGTTTTATTGAGAATATTAACAGATGCATAGGTAGGTCGATTGTCTGACTAATTGCATACCTTGAACCAAGGATGACGAAGGCATTCAATGGCACTAGGCCTCCTAGGAGGGGGGAAATGATATATTAGAGGAGGTCAAATGTAAAGTTATGATTAGATTTACATTGTGCGTACAGTTTGTCCACCACCAAAAGCTTGATGACAAATCCTTTGGCTTCCTTGCAGAAGTCTGAAAACATGCTTTCCTCAAAAGCTACGTTGTAGTTACGGATGTTTAAAGCAGTGGCTCTGTCATTCTCACCAGCAAAAGGAGACACCCCAGTAAGACTAGAGTAAAAAACACACTTTTTATAATTAATAGTGAAATATATTCTATGGCAAAATGCTTAACTAAAAAGCTAAAGCTCTTACCAAAGGTAAGTGATGACACCAACAGGCCTGTAAAAGAGCACGGCAGGGAATTAAACAGTTATATCAGGAAATACCTTTGATTCTGTAGCTTCTGCTTAATGTTTTATGCAGTATGGAGCCAAAGGTCCATGCCAACGAACAGGTGGCCTACCATATGTCTGTTGCTGTGGAAACAGGAGTTTGGTTAACGATCTCTGGGGCAACATACTCCGGTGTGCCATATTTGCAGTAGTGCTCGTCTGAAGCATCCAATTTTACAGCTTCTCCAAAATCACAAATACGGACTGTGTCACTCCCTGGACTTGCCATTAAGATGTTTTCAGGCTAAAAAAAAAAACCCAAACAAGATGTGAAAAATAAAGGAAGGTCTAATAAGTAAGCATTGCCACAAACATTGATTATCCAAGAGGTGAGACGCAAAGGTACCTTAATATCAAGATGAGCAACACTTTTTTGGTGAAGATAACGAAGACCCTCCAAAATCTGCTGAATGCAACTGCGAATCTGAAATGTGAAGAAATTATGGAATAAACTCTGACATTTGTTACATAATGTGTAGTAATGAAGCACACAAACCTCCACTTCCATGACTGATGTCTTCTTAGCTATTCTATCTAGCAGCTCCTCGTGACATCTTCACACAACAGTCGAGGGAAGATAAATTAAAGAACTGAGAGAAATATATTAGAAATGACCAAGACTCCCACACAGGCTATCTATTGCTAATCCCACTGCTCAGCAGTGAATCAGAGTGAAGAAGCTGTGTGTTCATACATGCAGGGCATCGCAGAAGATGTTCAGATCAATGGTTCGAATCTGAAGTGTACTATTGTTTGGAATTGCAGTTCTGCCTAAAGTTCAGTAAATTACAAATAATAAATTCAAAACATTTACGTACCTAACATGTCAAACAAAAGTGAAAGGATACAATTCCGTAATGAGCACAACCACATTCTTCTTCTCGAAAGCATCGTGGAAGCACAGAATGCTCTTGTCATCCAGTTCTGACACCAGCTTTATCTCTCTGAGGGCCGAGGCTTTCCACTTTCCCCGAGCAGAAATGAATTTTGCAGCAAACTCCGTTTTTTCTTTCTTGAGTGTGACTCTCTTCACGTAGGAGAAGGCACCCCTGTGCAAACCAACACAGAGGCACAATCACTGCTTGTTGTTGGTTTGTCTTTAGATTATATACAGGTTTTCAGTGGTCAGCACAACTAACCATAATGTTGGCTTAGCTAACGTTAAACCGCTAAACAGATGATTTTTTTTTAAATTAGCGGAAACTAACACTACAGCGCTAACTTTAATTTTATTCACTGCTGTCACTGACACTTTACAACTGTCTGTAATGTGACAATGTTGTAAGTGAACACAATTTAAAACAGTTTATAAATCACAAGTAAAGCGTCCATGTTCTGTTCAGAAGTGAGCTTTCAGAAATTATTCTGGTCCACTGGAACCAAAGACACGGAACAGAACTCTGCTGTGCTGAAGCAGAGTGATACATTTGTAATGAACTATATCTGTCTCTGATATTATTCATAATTTAAACGGATTCTTTCATTTTTCTGGACTGAGTAATATCGCGTTTTGAATATTAAATGTGGACAGAAACGTGTTTTATCTTTGACTCACCAACAACAGTGGGTCATTTATTTAAAAACGATTTAAACACATCACACATTTACAATAATTGGCAGATTGATTTCAATAAGACAGCTTAATTAATGAGCTTTACAATGAGAACCATACGGCCATGGTATCTCACTTGCAACTAATTACAACAGACATTTATGAAAATATCTGGATGATTACTGGCAGATAGAAGAGTTTTAAAGATGGGAAAATGAAGTTTAAATGGAGAGAGATGGGTGAGGGAATATGTCTATTATAACCAGAAACAACACGCTCCTTTGGACCCAGCTTAACCCACGGTACACTTTGCAGTTGAAGATCGACTCTTTACCTTTCTGAAGATATTTCAGTTCCGGCGTAAAGTTCCACTTCAAACCACCTTTCAGCGTCTCCGTAAGAATAGCAGAGACCTCAGGAGTCGTGAGATCATCACTGAACAGACTTCCTCATTGTTCAGAGCTTTCGTCGAGT